TTTATCATTCACACAGGTCTAATCTGTTCCCTTTACAGAACGATTTATGCCAACTGTTTTAGTAGAAACTGGTTAAATGTTCACCAAATCCACTTTTTCTTCCTACATACATAGGTAGACTACATTTCCAGCTTTCCTTCCAAATAAGTGTGGTCACATAACTGTGTCCTAACTAACAGAATGTGAGCACACCTGAGGTGCACCATTTCTAGGCTTACCCCTAAAAACTCCTCTGGCTCGCTCTCCTCCATCCCCTTTCCTTCCACAGATTGATGTCTATGAGTACACTGACTCTGTTAGTTACCTGATGAAGTCTGCAGAGTCAAAAAATGGATGGAGCCTGCGTTCCTAAATAAAGCTTTGAAGAAAGCTACCTACCAATCACAAACACCTGTTTGGGCTTTATATGAGCAAGAAATAAACCTCAGTCATGTTCAGGCCATTAAAGGTTTTGGGTATGTTTACTACAAAAACTAGCATTACAAATACAAGGCCTGTACAAAAGTACAAAAGTAGCATTTTTCAGAACCAGAATCTGAATCTAGGTCTTGTAAGTCCCAATTCTTGCCACTACGCCAAGCTTACTAATTTTAAAAACTACCCAAGGTAATATGATAAACACTTTATTTTAACATAAATTTTCTCAAATTTTAACTCCATGAAGATTTGAGTTCATTGGCAACAAGGGTTCTCTCATTTCTAAAAAAATCTCAAGTATTTCCCAATTGATGCCTTCAGGACCAGACCTCCCACTCCAGTTATCTGGCCTATAATTCCTGCCCAGGTGTGAAGCATGAAAGGTGACATCAAGTCAGTGTTTCTCAAATGTACACTTGGGAACCATTTCTATGGGATGTTAGTAGGTTTGGTGCTGAAATACAATAACCCACGGTCAAGCACATTTAGGAAATTCTAGATTAAAAGAAGTAAAAAGGTGTCTTTTCTGTAGGAATATCCTTTAATAAGATAACATGTCGTGAGATTCTCCAAAATAAACGTCTGTAGTATTTTGCAAATTTATTTGATGACAGAGCCCTTTTTCAAAGAGCAACTCAAGGAAATAGTGTTCCACTGAACACATTTTGGGAAACACAAACAAGGATATTGGAGCATACTCATAACTATTGTTACCTAAAGTTGGGTCTAGTACATCTTGGAATCTACTCCCTCTACCTAAGGAAACTTTGGTTCTGGCTGTGGCTTTCTACATGTACTACCTATTCCTGACTTCTAACAAATGATTATGCCTTGATCTTTAGGCTTCTTCTATATCCTCTAGCTCTTTTCAAGACTTAACAACTGACTGTATTTTGCGGTCTCAACCATGCCAGACTTTATCTTGTTGCTTCTCTACCCTGACGGAACACAAATGTTTGATTGGTTGTGTATGTATGTTGTAGTATTAATTCTTGATTCAATCAAACACTCCACATAAAGCAAGGGTGTGGGGTAGTGTTACTGGCGTAAAGAAACATCTCCTGGCTGGGTACAGTGGCTCACGCCTGTAATCCCAGTCCTTTGGGAGGCCAAGGCGGTTGGATCACTTGAGGTCAGGGGTTCGAGACCAGCCTGGCCAACTTGGTGAAACCCTGTCTCTACTAAAAGTACAAAAAAAATTAGCTGGGCATGGTGACAGGCACCTGTACTCCCAGCTATTTGGGAGCCTGAGGCAGGAGAATCACTTAAGTCCAGGAGGCAGAGATTGCAGTGAGCAGAGATCTTGCCACTGCACTCCATCCTAGGCAACACAGTGAGACTCTGTCAAAAACAAAAACCAAACAAACAAAAAAAACAACTCTTACTGTCCTAGTTAAATATCAATATCAATAAAATACAGTGAAGTTACATTATATGGGCATTCGTAGTATGTGAATTCAGGTAGACCCATTTAGTATCCTGGCCCCCAGATAGTGAGAAAAAATAGTTTAAATGCAAAGCAGTTAGATTTTATGTTATGAAATGCCATTACTGGCATTCTGTATCACTTAATTTAAAACTTGCATAATTGAAGATTAATTTCCCATACAGTTGTCAAAGAAAAGCAGGCATTTCTTTGCTTGCTGAAGTGGCACCACCATGGGCTGTAGCAAAAACATGGTTTCCAATTCAGGTAGCCCACTCCTTTTAATATTGTATGATTGTTGATATAAAAAAAAATTTAAATTCTATTATTTCAAATGCTTCCAATCACATGAGAGAATTTATTAATCTTTTATGTTGTACTCTTTCAAATTTGCATAATTTTATAAATTACTGCACTGTACTGTGGGTGCTTTTATCCACCATCCTATTCCATTGTTATAGCAGATTTATAGGCTGTTAGGATATATAACTCTGTTATTTCTTTCCTTCCTGTGTGCCTTTCATAGTAGAAAATATCACTGGGTCCTACAATTCCAAACCAACTTTAATCTGACTTCACCAAAGAAACAGAAATCTACTGAATGTTGGGAAAATAGTTGTACTGAATTTACTGAAAGATGTTACATCATTCTCTAAAATGTCATATAGTTTTAAGAAACTTTGAAGGTAAGTATGAATACACATGACTCTTTTTATGTGACAACTTTAGAACTTTACCTCCCATATAAGATGTGACTCTACTTGAAGATAATGGACATTATTGATTGCTAATCCAGCATTTAGTACTTCCTTTCTTCCTCCTAATAAAACTCTATTTTATTCAGATAGCACTCCTCATAACTAAGGGAAAGATGATCCTAGTACCAGTTCCAGGACCAGATCTGGACTTGTGTAGGCTTACCACGTTGCTCCCACCCTCTTTGCCAGAGACTGGTTTTGGAGCACTCAAGTAATCCAATTCTAGTCTGTGACACATGAGGAGAAGTCGACCAAAAGGCTTCTGTAAAGATTTCCTTGATTATTATTAGCATATATTATTATTATTTTTTGAGACGGAGTCTTACACTGTCGCCCAGGCTGGAGTGCAGTGGCACGATCTTCGCTCAGTGCAACCTCCGCCTCCTGGGTTCAAGTGATCTCCTGCCTCAGCCTCTTGCGTAGCTGGGATTACAGGCGCCTGTCACGACGTCCAGCTAGTTTTTTGTAATTTTAGTAGAGATGGGGTTTCATTACGTTGACCTGGCTGGTCTTGAACTCCTGACCTTGTGATCCACCCACCTTGACCTCCCAAGATTTCCTTGATTCTTAGCCAGTGATAGTTCATTTCATTCCTAAGCATGTTGGTAGGTTCAGTGTGACTCCAATAGCTATTGCCATCCTGCTGCCAGTCCTCTGAGGATGTCAACATTGAGAGCGGAAGAGAGCAGAGAAAGACAAAACCTAGGTCTTTTAAGATATTGCTCAGTTCCTGAATCAATGAACCCTGAAGTCTCTCCAATCTTCTCCTTAGATAATGTATTATTAGTCAGCTCAGGCTACTATAACAAAATATCATAGACTGGGTGACTTAAACAACACAAATTTCTCACAGTTCTGGAGGCTGGGAAGTCCAAGATCAAGGTGCCGGTAGATTTGGCTCTTAGTTGGGGCTGTCTTCCTGGCTTGCAGATAGCTGCCTTCTTACTGTGTCCTCACATGGTATGTGCAAGCCAGGATAGAGAGAGAGAGCTTTCTCTCTTTTGCTCTTCTTATAAGGCCATCAACCCTACATGGTTAGGGTCCTACCTTTAGGACCTCATTTAATCTTAATTACCTCCTAGATCCCCATCTCTAAATACAACCATATTGGGCTTAAGGCTTCAACCTATGTCTATGGAGGAAACACAATTCAGTCCATAGTAGATAACATAACAAATGTCTTTATGCTGTTAAACAAGTTTAAAAATTTTTTTTGTTATATACAACTGAATACACCCTGACAGATATCATATCTTATGATGAAATACACAAAGGATAATGTCTAATTCATGCCATATAACATGAAAAGATCAAGGGTTAGTCTTCTTTTCTCAGAATAAAGCAGTTGTAGAGTTAAAAATGGTTAGTCCATTGCAGTTCTAAGGCATTTCATGAACTGCTGATTGTACATATATGTGGTATCATGTTAACATAAACAGTCCAGCTCTAAGGGAGTTTTAAGTTATAAAAGAAACATTTTTCTAAGATCATGAGCTCTGATATAAAAACCATACTCCAGCCCAGTTCTATCATTATGAAGGTCTGGTGAGCCGAGAGATGTTAGTTGGTGATTTTATCAAGCCAGAATTCTAACTAATGGCTTGGTGAAGCCATCACTGTCCCGTAAAATACCATAACAGATTGACAGGACGATTCAAGAGTTTTAGTCATTTTACATCCTTATGGTTATTCCACAAAAAGCAGCATCTCAGGGATCACTGCAATCTTACAAATGAGAATACACTTTCACCTTTTTGCCTAAGGAATCAGTTATGTTTTTCTTACAATTCAAATCTAATTTTTATAACTATCTTCAACAAAAAGGGTGGAGTGTAGATTTATCACATTCTAGTAAAGCTCTCATGAAACATTTTACTTGTTACATTGTTTCTAAAGTAAATTTACCATTTTCCCCCTGATGAAATGCAAATAAACAATAAAATTATATTGAAGTGAAGGATTTTCATAACATAGTAAAATTCTCCTTTAATTTTCAGCTGAGTGAGTGGAAGAGCAGCACTTATCAAATTAGAAAAAAAAATACCCAAACCAAACAAACAAAAACAAACTTCACCAAGAAACAAATGAGAGATACATTTGCATATAGATGCATCCATATTAAAGAAATAGAACTTGGGTCATTTTGAAATCTTAAACCTTCTGACACTATTTTCATGAACTCAGTAATATAAACCATGTGGTGAATGAAATTCTGAAAAACTTTGCTGGTTTCACTGTGTATTTTATTACTGGCCAAATGTGACATTAAATTTTATCCCCTGTGGCTTGGAGTTAAATGCTTGCTCTGTTCAGAATGGCAACACTCAATTAAACAGCATTTTTCATGATCTACACCCACCATTGTTACTGTATTTAAGGGAAATAATGGGGGTACTGACCTATATTGCGCTTCTTATTATCAATGGAGACGAAGCGTATGCAGGGATTACTGGTGATGTACTGCCCAGCCCAAGGGACATCAATCTTCGTGCCAGCTTCATAAAAGAGGCCCAGAGCATATCGAGAGGAGTAGCTCACAGCCTCCAGTTGCTGCCTTTGGCATTCACTAATTACTGTGGAAGAAAAAATAAAAGGCATCAAACTTAAAAATATCATCTTTCCTTTTAGTACATCAAATATAAAACTCCTTTAAATCAGTTACAACTGCTTCTACCAACTCCATCTCACTTACAATGAATTTTGAAAGGTAATGTAAACTAGCATCAGCTCTAATTTCTTTTTGGAATTTCTTAACTTTGGCACATTGTTTTTATGAAGTTGAAGGTTCACAATCTTTGGAATGGCACTTAAGGTTCTCAAAATCTGGCTCCAAATTGCTTTTCTATTCTGGTATCCTAGTCTTTGGACGGTCTGGCCATATTACAGATTCCATATACTGACCCCTTACTACAAGTCAGGGTATTTGCTATATACTTGACATAAGCATTTCACTCTATCATAATAGTTTTAAAAGGTAGAGTATTATTTCCAAGTTACAGATGAGGAGGCTGATGCTCTATCTCTTATGACCTCTTAAATTGTTCCATGGATACAAGGGGGGAATAACACACACTGGGGCCTGTTGGGAATGGGGGCATTGTGGAGGGAGGGCATCAGGATGAAGAGCTAATGCATGCTGGGCTTAATACCTAGGTGATGGGATGATCTGTGCAGCAAACCACCATGGCACATGATTATCTATGTAACAAACCTGAGTATCCTGCACATGTATACTTGAACTTAAAAGTTGAAGAACACAAAAACTACTACACACACACACACACACACACACACATAAATTGCTCCATGTCATAGAGTGATTTGTTCACCTGTCATCTTTCTGCCAGTGCATTATAATAGCTCCTTAAGCAGAGGGACCACACCTTAGTCATCTTTGTTTACAGGTCCCTACCGTACTCATTACAAGCACACCAAAGTTGAAACTTTAAAGGGATAGAAAGGTAAACACAGACATGTAAAGAAATAATGTCTGTGTCAACTTCTTCACAAAAGAAGTTGAAATGTAGGAGGTAAATAATAGGAAAAGCCTGGAAAAGGAATTGAGTAGGTTTAGGTTTAAATCCTGACTCTCCACTTACCAGATATGTGACACTGGTTAAACTACTTAATTGCTCTGATTACAGTTCTCTTGTCTATACTCGCAATAATAGTACAGAATGCATTAGTCTGTTGTGAGGATTATATGAAATAATGCATAGTACAGTGCTTGGCATATAATAAGTGTTCATTAAATAGTGACTTTTTCTACTATAGATAGAAAAAATACTTGGGAAAATGGGACAAGAAAACATACTTAGGAAAATGGGATAATGTTCCATCCTGAGGTGGGGAAAGAAGACATATTTTCCACTTTTTACTTTCTATCTCCAATACCCCTACCTTTAAGGTCTCAGGGAGCTGCTTGTTTATGTATGTACAACATTAATAGTTTAGGTTTCAGAGAAGGTCATAGTTCTGTTTTGCCTTAGAAGGCTCGTTCAGACATGGAACACATGGGAAATTCTCAATTAATTGGGGTAAAATATCCTAATCTACAACAGTAGGGATAAGCAAACCTCAAGGATGAGGGGGCAACTTTAGTTAAATATTACAGAAGTAGCTTTAGGAGGTAGAGAGAGGCAGGAAAGGGATTCAATAAATTATTAGAGCACAGTAATAATCCTATACATTATTTCAACTACAAAACATTTTTACAACCATGACCTAATTTAGTCTTCACAAAAGCCATCTCATTTCACATCCCCAGGAAGGTGAGATTCAGATTGGTTAACTAACCTGCCTTAGGTTACACAGCTTCCAAGTTGTGTGGTCAAGATGAAGCCAGAGCTCCCACATTGGAGCTACACACATATTCTTATAACCCTACACTTTCCTCTGCTCATCTGCAAGTCTGAGTTTCAGAATAAACTTTGGCATTGCTTTCTCCTTGACATTAATGGCTATTTTGTATTCATAAGTAAAAGCCATATTTCCCTTTAACCATAATTTTCTGCCTTATTAAAAGCTGTAACTACTTGATGAACGAATGATCTGACATTGGCCTCATTACACTCAATGAATTTGGAACTTCATTTTTTAATTTAATCTGCTTTTAAAGTTGTGGCTTGATGTTATACTTACTGTTTTCTAAGAGGGAGGAGGTGAAACATATTAATGCTAGCCGCTGAGCACATAATCACTGTTTCTCATTTTTTAAATTAAAAAAAACAAAACAAAACAAAAAAAACACTAACCAAACAAAACTGTGTAGTTAGCTACTTAGTAACTGAAAGGACCTAAAACTTTTATTTTTTTAACCAACACTGAAGGGTCAATATGTTGACAACCAAATCAGTCCTCTCCCCACCCCCCTACTTTTTGCTAGCTTTTAGACAAACTGCCAAGTGGTAAATCCCATTGGGTAGCCCGTTGAAAAGGTAATTGATATCTATATAGAAAGAACAATTAACCTTACACACCCTTGTCTATTTCAGGGGCTCTACAATTCATTCTGAGAACAGGGAGGTGAGACTTCTGACTGAAACAATCACAATTTCTGGACATTCACTGACAAAAACTTTGTCTTCAGAGCCTTAAAAGTTTTTTATTGTTGGAATGCGGGCAGCATCTTAAAAAAAGATCTTACTTTGTTTTAAAAAGTTTCTAGTGCAAAATGCTAAAGAAACCAGCCCTAGGTCCCACATATTTTGGCAAGCAAAACAATAGATTCTTTCTTATCATGTTTTCAAATAGGACAAATGACCACAAATCAAGGCTTATATAAAAAGGCCTAATTCCAATGTAATAAATCTTTACCTGGCTGTCATCCTCATTTAATTCTCAACCAATGGGATTATATAACCCACAAACACACATACACACACATATATGTAAGATATGTTATATAATATATATCTTAAACATACATAAATAATATAAAATATATTTTATGACTATGAGTAAAATGGCTAAAAATTGTAGTGAACAGAACAGTCCACATGCATACTTTCATTAATGAGGAAAATTGTGCTTATTTCATTCTCCTTGTGCCTATGTCTTTGTGTGCATGAGTGGGTTTGTGGGAGGTGAAGAGCAGAGGGAGAAAAAGAGAGAGAAGAGGAGAGTGAGAGAGAGGAACAGAAGACCTGGCTGTACTCCTGAATAACACTGAGCAAATATTTCATTTTCTTTGTTTCCTCATGTAATTTTATTCTGTTAGTTTCCAAACCTATAAAAGAAGGCTAATAATACATATTCTGCCTATTTTCTACATTTTTTGGTGACAATCAAATCAATCTATCCATTCATCCATCCATCCATCCATCCATCCATCCATCCATCCATCCATCCATCCAAACATCCTTCCATTACTTTATGCCATGCACTTTTCTAGACGTTAGGGCTGTAAAGCAGAAAGATAAAGTCCCTGCTCTCATGTAGCCTACATACTAGTGGCAGAAAGGCCATTATAAATCAATAATCAAGTAAATGATATGTCAGTTGGTGATAACAGCTATAAGGAAAAATAAAGCAGGTAAAGGGATAAGTAACAGGTTTGAGTGAGGCTATTTTATATAGACTGTCAGGGGTATGTGTTACCTCTGAGGTTTTTACTTGGATTGACATGGGAACCTACTACTCGTTATGAGCCAGGGACAGACATGGCATTCCTTCTGTCTTAAAATTCTCATTCTGGCTACCGGTGAAGATACAGGGGTGCAAGAGTAGAACTGGGGCAAGCAGCTTTTGCAGAAGTCTTAGATTAGAGAGAATAGTAGAGGAAGCCAGAAGTGGCTACAGTTTGGATGAAATATATAGGGTGTGTGAGTGTGTGTGTGTGTTTGTGCATATGCGTATATACTCTTAAATAAAAATTATGAGAGGCTATTGATTTGGGCTAAGATCTTGCACTAGGTCCCCACAAACCAAACTAAACTGGAGTCACTCATGCTAATGTTCCTGATCACCAAACCAAAACCTAAGCTGTTTACTTGCAAGATCCGACCTGAGAGATTAGGGGAGAAGGTCAGTTTTCCAAAAAAAAAAAAAAAAAAGAAAGAAAAAAAAGGAAATCCACAACAACCAATCCAAAGGGCCCAGTCAACCTGAGCTGAGCGGGCATAATAACCAAGTCCCCACTGCTTTAATCCATACGAGGAGAGTAACCTTTAGTAACCTGATGTTAACCAATTTACCTTTTGCACTAGATGTTTCCTTGTTCCCGCTCAAGTTGCCTTACAAAAACCAACTCATGGCCAGTGGAGTTCTCTGTTAAACCAATTCACTGGCCATGACCTCATGGCCAGTGGAGCTCTTGTCTGTTTTATAGACTGGATGCTGACTGGTTTATGAATTGCTAATAAAAGTCAATTAACTCATTAACACTTCATTTGTTGAAATGTTGTCATTTCACATACATGCACACAATATATGTGTACATAAATATATAATATGTATAATGTAAATTTTAATAGAGGTTTAACATACGTAGAGAAAATTATGCCTTGATGAATTTTCATGAAGTGAACACACCCGTATAACCGGCAACCAGATCAAGAAACAGAGCATTACCAGAACCCCAGAAGCTACCTTCTGCTCCTTTTCCAGGCACTCTTTTCCTGCTGCACGTAATCAGGAATCCTAAATTCCAACATCATAGATTACTTTAGCTGTTTTTGAACTTTACATAAACAGAATGATATGGTATATATTTTTTGTGTCTGGCTTCTTTCACTCAATATTATGTTTGTTATATAAATGTTGTTAGATGTAGTTGTAGTTAATTAATTGTAGGACAGTATTGCTTATATGTATATACTGCAAGTTACTTATCCATTCCACTGTTGATGAATATTGGGATTGTTCGTAGATTTTGGTTATCACATATTTAATGTGAAGAACATATGTACGTGATTCTCTAGTGCTGGAATTCTGGAATGATGGAGCTCACATAATTCAGTTTTAGTAAATACTGCCAAATGGTTTTCTAAAGTGATTGTACCAGTTTGTACTTCCACCAGGTGTGTATGAAAGCTGAGTTGTTCCACATTGTTGCCAGAATTGGCTACTATCT